TTTTTTTTTTTTTTTTTTTTTTTTTTTATTAGGGAGGGGGATTTCAAGACAGTTTCTCAGTAACTTTGGAGCCACTCCTGGAACTCGCTCTATAGACCTGGTTGACCTCAAAAAAAAAAAAAGTGAAAATATCAGATTTTGTGAAGTCAGAGTGCTGTTTACTAGCTAATTGTATGTAAAGAAAGACTTATTTAGAAAAACGGGGAAAAAATGAACTTTCTTTGGAGGTGATATCGTATTTTTGAATTGTTGAAAGAATGATGATTTGGCAATAGTCTAATTGTAGGAGCTAGTCTTGTTTTAAAGACAATAAAATACTTTTTAAAAATACTCATTAAAAATAATGCAGACTATTCAGTATCTAGCTCTATGAAAACACGCATGAGACAATAATGAAAGACAATCTCTCAAAACTGGATCACTAGGAGTTGTGAAAGTTTGAGAGTTATTATTATTGTTGCTATTAATCTTGTCATTCAGTATTTCAGCTGGGTCTGTTTGTGAAAACTTTTGAATTTTAAAAGTCCCACCCCAACATTTATATGTACAATCTCAGTGATGGCTGATTTCGTTTCAGTTGCTCATTCCCAGCTCATCTTTAGTCTTCTTACCTTTTCTTGGTTCTATTAAAAAATAAGTAGGGTAATGAGTGATGGAGTATGACTATGGCTATAATCCTAGCATTACACATGCTGAAGCAATAGGCCAGTGTGTGCTACATCACGAGTTCTTACCATAGAATAAATCAAAACCAAAAAATGCTTGTGACTTGATCTTTCAAGATGCTGCCTAGATTGGGCTTGAACTCTTCAGTGCTGAGATTACAGGTCTAGGCAAGATGCTGTTTTCTAAAACAATTAGCAGATGTTTGGATAGACATTTTCTGTTGCTTTATTATTTTTTTCAGACAGGATCTTACTATGTAGAGATGTCTGGCCTGGAACTTGCTATGTAGACTAGACTAGGCTAGCCTTAAAGTAACAGATCCACCTGCCTGTGTCCAAGTGCTGGGGTTACCACTACACCTGGCTTCTAGTTTTACTTTATTTAATTTTATTTTTTTTTAAATTTATTTATTAAAGATTTCTGCCTCCTCCCCGCCACCGCCTCCCATTTTCCTACCCTCCCCTGACTTTATTTTATTTTATTTTTTATTTTTTTGGTTTTTTGGGACAGGGTTTCTCTGTGTTACAGTCCTGGCTGTCCTGGAACTAGTTCTTGTAGACCTGTGTTGGCCTTGAACTCACAGAGATCCACCTGCCTCTGCCTCCCAAGTGCTGGGATTAAAGGTGTGTTCCACTACTGCCCGGCTATTGGTTTTACTTTTTGTTGAGTGCTTATGAAGGTTTAAAATAAAATATTTGATCATTAAACAGATTTTTTTATATGAAAAGTTGATGCTGTGTAGCCCAGGCTGGCCTTAAATGCATGAAACTTTCCCTCAGCCTCTCAGTGCTGGGAGTACAACAGGCACCACTGTGCCTGGATTCCACTGTGTATTATGTTCCTACAGTACATCTAAAGTGATATTAACATTACTGCAGGTGTTTACTTAAGTACGTGTAGCCACTACTTGCAATAGCTTAGTCCTTGATTTCTAGGAATACTTCTAGATGTGGCTGAAGACTGGACCAATAGCATTTAATTTCAGCCTTTAACAAGCAATTAATTTCTAATAAAAGTTTTGTATTTTTGGGAAATATTTTTGCTCATACACTATTTCTTGTTTTTGCAGAGTTAAATAATAGCATTCCTTATTAGAAAATTGTGATGAAAATTTCCTTAGAAATAGTGATTTTTCGGGCTGGAGAGAGGACTCAGAGGTTAAAAGCACTGACTGTTCTTCTGGAGATCCTGAGTTCAATACCCAGCAACCACATGTTGCTCACAACCATCTGTAATGAGATCTGGTGCCCTCTTCTGACCTGCAGATGTACATGCAGGCAGAACAGTGTGTACATAATAAACAAACAAACAAACAAATAAATAAATCTTTAAACTGAAAAAAAAAAGAAAAAGAAATAGTGATATTTTCATTGAGTTTCTTAGATCCTGCAGCTTTTCTGATTCAGCGATATTTCCTTTTTCCTCTAGATATCAACAAGTTTCTTTGGATGGTCCGGATTGGGGGAAGCACAGATACAGGAAGACATATCAAGGAGAATGACTACTATACTCCAACAGGGGAGTTCCGTGTGGATCGTGAAGGTTCTCCAGTGCTGCTCAACTGCCTTATGTACAAAATGTGTTACTACCGCTTTGGACAAGTCTACACAGAAGCCAGTGAGTGATTCATAATACTAACAATAGTGATAGCTAACACATACTGTGTTTTCTGGGGTCTATTCTTTGTCTTTTCTAACTCATTTAGTCACAGGAGCCTAGGAACTAGAAACTAATCTTAATGCCATTTTATATATGAGGAAATTGAAATAACCAACAGGTAACTGAAGAAGATAATATCAAATGATAGGATTCAAACTCCGTCTGCCTCTGAATTCTGTTCTTTGAAACATCTTTTGCTTGGGCGGTGGTGGCACACACCTTTAATCCCAGCAGGTGAGAGGCAGAGTCAGGTGAATCTCTATGAGTTCAAGGCCAGCCTGGTCTACAGAGGGAGTTTCAGGACAGCCAGGGCTACAGAGAGAAATCCTGTTTTGAAAAACAAAACAAGCCAAAAAAAATTATTTATTTTTTATGAATGTCTCAATAAAGAATATTGCAGTGTGAGAAGGACTAAGGGAATAAAGAAAAAAGTACTTCTCCATTTTTTACGTGATACATTGAGAGGGATTTGGTCCGGTTAGATTCTCTTCGTTTCAGTTTTGTTTCTGCATCTGGAAAGACTTTTGCAGTATATACAAATCTTGGACGCCTGACCCATGGAATGGTTAGTAGTGTTAAGTCTCAGAAGTAGAGAGGCTTGAAAGTCACCTTTTAGATTTATAAGAGATAAACTCCATGGACTCTACCAAGCATCTCATTGGGCAGGACTCAACTAGGGTAGCACTTGATTTGCCATTTCTTTTCTCTCTCTTTCTTTCTTTCTTTCTTTCTTTCTTTCTTTCTTTCTTTCTTTCTGTCTGTCTGTCTGTCTGTCTGTCTGTCTGTCTTTCTTGTTTTTTGATACAGGGTTTCTCTGTAGCTTTGCAGTCTGTCCTGGAATAACTCTTGTAGACCAGGCTGGCTTCTCCCAGGTGCTGGAATTAAAGGCACGTACCACCACTGCCCAACTTTGATTTGCCATTTCTATCTGATGCTCTTTCTTGCAGACTCTAGTCAAAGTGCAGGCTGAGGAATAGCAACCAGTACAGTAGTTGGTGTGCAGCTTCCATCTCCCTAGGAAATTAATTTGCAGAATAGAAAGAAGTTTTCTCTTTTGTTGCTTTTAGAGCGTCCACCAGGCTTTGACCGTGTTCGAAATGCTGAGATTGGTAATAAAGACTTTGAGCTTGATGTCCTGGAGGAAGCATATACTACAGAACATTGGCTGGTCAGGATATACAAGGTGAGTAGATGCTGCCCATCTCGCAAAACTGTCCTCATTCTAGTGTACAGTTTTCAAATAGGAATATTTTTAATAGCACCTGGTTTCAAAGTAGCTTGTCATTTACTTGAAGTGTTAATATTTTTAAATGTTGTATATGTTTTATTGTATAGACACAACTTTGTGGATTCTCTCTCTGCCTTTTTAAAATTCCCAAGATAGAATTTAGGTCATCAGTCTCATATGCAATTTTCCCTGCTAAGCCATCTGGTCAGGCCAAAATGTTGCTAATTATATTTTTGATTATTCTTAGGAGACATCCCAGCTGTCAGTTGTTATGCCCACATTTCTTTTTCTTTAAAAACATTTTTTACTACAGTTTTATATGTATGCTATATATAAGGACAGCTTGCAGGGGTTAGTTTTTTTATCGTAGGTATCCTGGAGATCAAAATCTAGTTACCAGGATTGATGGCAAATGTTTTTGCCCACTGAATCATTTTCCCAGACCAATACTTTTTTCTTTCTTCTTTCTTTTTTTTCTTTTTTCTTTTCCTAAATGTGTAGCCCAGGCTGGCCTCGAACTCGTGATCCTCCTGCCTCTGCCTCCTTCATCTAATCCTACCGCGTGTGCCACCACTACCGGCTCTTTCTTCTTTCTTTATGGTTTTTGGGACTAGGGTTTCAGGATGCCAACCAGACTGGCGTTAATATTACTATTTATCCCATTTCTTCAGCCTCTGGAATGGTAGTATTATAGATGTCGCCACTGTTCTTGATTCAGCAATATTGTTCTAGGTAGGGTTTGAAATAGCTTGGGGATTGGGGGGAATGCATGTATTTGTGTTTTGAACTATGTTTTTTATTTTTTGCTGAATTTTTGACAGTATCACATGATGTTGCGTAGGAATGTGTTATATCTTTTACATGAGAAGAGATTGAGCCAGATATAGCATATATGCCTTGTTGTCTGAGGTTTCTGTCCTGCCCAGTTCCCGCAGTCGTTAAGTCCCAAAGAAATCACACAGGGGTCTACATTAGTTATAAACTGATCGGCCTAGTATCTTAGGCTTCTTGTTAACTCTTATAACTTATATTAACTCATAATTCTTATCTGTGTTAGCCACGTGACTTGGTACCTTTTTCGACGAGGCAGTCACATCTTGCTTGCTCTGTGTCTGGCTTCCTCTTTGTCTGGGTGATGACTACGAACTGAAACTTTCCTCTTCCCAGAATTCTCGTTGCCCAGCCTCTACTTCCTGCCTGGCTACTGGGCAACCAGCGTTTTATTAAACAAGTACAAGAAACAAATCTTTCTTTATAGGGTAAATCCATTGTCCCACAGTAATGCCTATATCCCAGCACTAGGGAAACATGCAGGGGGATTGAGTTTGAGGCCAGTGTAGGCTACATAGCAAAACTCTGTGTAACTGGGGAAAAACTCAAGTAACAGTGGGAACAAAAAGAATGATTGAGGAATTTTGGTCAATGCCAAAGTTCGACTATTAGCTTCTTAAAGGCTAAGTTGACAGTAGGTAGGGTCTGACTCATGCTTATTGATTACATTGTCCAAAGACAACAGAGTCTAGTGCAGCCCTTTCTGGTGGTCACTAGTAGGTCTCTAATGTTGAACTTTGGGCACATACTAAACTCATGTTATGTTGTTGCAGGTAAAGGACCTGGATAATCGAGGTTTGTCAAGGACATAAATGCCACATTGTGCCCTGGTACGCTTCGCACTGAGCGCGTCATATTGAGGACGCCGAAGATTTTTTTTTATAAACAGTTTCTAAGAACAGAACCAGATGGGATTAGAATTGTCTGGAAGTTTTGTCCTGGACAGTATGGGCTGGGCCAAATCAAATGATTTTTGTAATTCTGAGCAGGTTACCAAATGAAATGTCATGGCTTTACTTTGGTCAATTAAAGGGGGGTATTTTTTTTTTAATGTGCCTTATTTGTTTTGACTTAAATCGGCTGATTTGAGGATCACAGAAGGGAGTGGATGGAAGATCATATCCATGCTCTAGGTCCCCAGACAAACCAAATAGGAACATTTTCTTTCTCTGTCCTAAGGACTAGCTCTGGTTCTACAAATATAAAAACTTTGTCACACTTTTTGTTTTGTAGCACCCAGATCCAATGCTTTGCATATAACGGGTGCTTAATAAATTTTTATCAACTGAATAAATGCTTCTGGGACCAGAGGAGTGCTGTTTCTGAGCAGGGAAGACAGTGTTCTTGCTGTTAGGTTTGTGTTCTCAATATCTGTTTCTTTAGAAGATCTTTGGCTTTGTAAGGATAGAGAGTTGCTAAGTATGTCCAATCTCACCAGGGTTCTTTAAACTTGTGAGGGTTCTTATTCTAAGCAAAATGTGAACCAACTGTGACTAATCCAGTAGTTTTTAAGACTCAGTGAAACATATTAATCTGAGAGGAAGACGCTCCTCCAACTCTACCATGTACAGAATTTGATGGTCAGTAGATGTTACTGGAATCAGAAAGTTTTCAGTACTTCACTCAGCCTAAAACATAGTAAATGGCTATTTCCTCATTTCCTGGAGACTCCCCTAAATCTCATGGTGTTCGCCACCATGAGTTTCTGTTCTTAGTGTAAGTCTGCTGTGTTCACACACCACTTCAGGCTTGATTACCTGGTTTTGAAGCCCTTGCTAAGTTATAATGAGGATGTGGGAAGTGTTGCTACTAGCAGGTACCTAGAGATCATTGCTAGTCTGACTGTAAGAAAAGAGACTTTAAAAAGCATTTTAACTTTGAAGCATAGAGGTCTCATAGTTATTTTATGCCAGGATAACAGCTTTCTGTTAGGTATAATAAGACATTTCATCATGTATTTTACAACGTAGGACATAATCACTGATGTCTAGAAACTGTCTTAAAAAATTAGTTGTACTATTTAAGAAAACAGGAGGAATTATATGACTTAGATAGTCAAGTCACATTGGTACTCAGTGCATATATGCTTAGGTGTACTTGTACCTAATGACCTCAAGCCAGTTTATGTACCAGAAGATTCTATTTCCTATATGTAAATATATTACTTGATTTATATACATAATTACTGCCTAGTGGGAAAGGTTAATCTGAGATTTATCAATATGATTATATTACAGGTTATTAGTAAGCTTTCTCTATAGTATAGATGGAATAGTCCTTTTTCATATCATTTTACTCCTGGGATTTTGATATTTTCTAGTTTACGCAAATTTTTTAAGAGATTGCTTTTATTTTCAGTTATAGCCCACTTAGTGTAAAAAATATCCATCTAAAAAACAATACAATTTGACACATATAACTTCCCACACACCCATTGACTCTTGTAATTTGTGACACTATTTTTACTATCATTTGTTATAGTTGCAATTACCTTTTACCTTCTGGCTATTATTAGTTAAGATGTTTTATATACTGTTACTTTTTGGCAGTTCCCTGTAGCTTAGGCTGGCTTTGAACTCAAGATACAGATGCTAGCTTTGATCTCTTGATTGTGCAGCCTCTGCCTCCCAGGTGTTGAGGTTACAGGTGTGGGCCACTATAGCCAGCTAGTTATTATTTTTCCTCTATAACTTCTTTTAGGAAGTACTTTACTGTTTTTTAGTACTTGTTATAAATCTCTCCTACCCCCTTACCTCTGTAGCCAATTCTATTTCATTTGTGCCTGTTTTCTCTTAATGTGATCAAATATATATGTTAAGCAATTTTTGCGCTTTTGAGACAGGGTCTTTTGCAGCCAGGCCTAGCTTTGAATTCCTGCTTCTCCTGCCTCTACTTGCCAAGTGCTGGGATTATAGGTATATGCCATCACACCTGATTACATTGTTTACTTTTAAGAATGTCTTTATTTTTCAGCTTGAATTGGTTAACTCTCCAAGTTTGTTGAGTTGTATGTACTATTTCACTGTGATATTTGTTAATCTTTTGCCGTTTTCATTGATTTGCTATTTCTAAGTATCTTATGAAAGTATATAGGGCAAATAAATTTCTGGAGCTATTCTGTACCATATTGAATGCATAGCTGGGTATAGAATTCCAGACTCTCAGTATTTTGCATTGTAAAGGCACTAGCCTATTGTTTTCTATTTTCCTAATATTGAGAAATGCAGTTATTCTGATGAATATTTCTCTATTTCTTGCCCCAGACCCCTTTGTTGCATCTTTATTGTGGGTATCCACTGTCCTGGTACTTTGGATTTTCATGTGTGCATAGTCAAGTTTTTTCTGTTTTTTGAAAAAATACTCATGTAGATTCTTCCAGCTGTTTTTCTAATAGGGTTAATTAAAAAAAAATTAAATTTAGGCAACACAATTTAACACTTTAAATATTTACTTTTATTTTATGTGATTGGGTGTTTTGCCTGCATATCTATCTCTCTCTCTCTCTCTCTCTCTCTCTCTCTCTCTCTCTCTCTCTCTCTCTCTCTCTGTTGCATTGGGCCAAACCCACAGCATGTCTTCTTTTGTAACTATTTTTAGGAAGTTTTAGTATGGTTTTGGTTTGTGTGTATGTGTGTAAATTTGTTTAGCTACTCTTGTGGCAATTTTCTTTGAATATCTTCAGACACATTAAATCTGAGACAGTATTTCATTTAGTCCAGGTTGTCCTGGAGCTTTCTTTGTAGCCATTGTCACCCTGAACTGATCTGCCTCCATCTCCCTAGAGGCTAGTATAAAGCCATATATATATATATGCAAGCACACGTATACACATAATGAACACTGATACTCTGCCTGAACCTAGTTTTTCCAGGTGATGACACTGCATTCAGGAATTTAGTAACCTCATGGGTCTTTTGATTTCAGAACGCACCCAGGAAATTACAAAGAAATGGGAAATGACATAAAAACTTGTTTTCATCACGAGTCCTTTAATATCATGCTTTAAAACTTCACATATAAACATTTGCAGGCGTTTCACCCTTCACATCTGACAGATTTTGTGGAGATGCAAAGCCAGCACAAAGTTTCAGTTTGTACCTAAGTCCTTTCCCTGAGATTCTAGATTTCTCACTTTATCCCAGGCTTTCTGCATGCTTACCAACTACTCTATGATTATGCAGCATGTTTTCTCTTAATATTTATTGTGCTACTCTACCCAGCTCCTCTTTAAGACAGGATCATGCTCTTTGACTCAGGCTGACAAACCTGAAGCAGTTCCCTTGCCCCAATCTTCATTGGCTGTCATTACAAGGGAGTCACCACAAAGAGTGGGTCTAGCTGGCTATCTCTTGCCTGAGGTTTCAAGTGTGGTATTAGAGGTGTGGGCCAGCATGTTCGTTTAAGAATTAGACAGCTAGTAAAACTAGGCAAATGGTCTTCCTACAGACAGGCTGGGCTCAACTAGTTTTTGAGCCTGTGCAGGTAAAACTGGTGAGCCTGACTGGACTGTAAACTCCAAATGCTGTCTTTGTCTTGCCCCCTCGTACTTGAGGCTGTGTGGTCGTTTCTCTCTCTCTCTCTCTCTCTCTCTCTCTCTCTCTCTCTCTCTCTCTCTCTCTCTCTTTTGGTTTTTCGAGACAGGGTTTCTCTGTGGTTTTGGAGCTTGTCCTGGAACTAGCTCTTGTAGACCAGGCTGGTCTCGAACTCACAGAGATCCGCCTGCCTCTGCCTCCTGAGTGCTGCGATTAAAGGCGTGCGCCACCACCGCCTGGCTGTGTGGTCATTTTTAAAACTATCTCGTTTTTTGTTTATCTGAGAAGACTAACTCTGCATAACCCGGGCTGGACTTTAACTATTTTCTTGCCTTGTATACGCCTTCCAAATTCTAGGTTTACAAGCATACACCACCACACCTGGCTTTCCTTCATTTTTTTTTTTTTTTTTGGATCAATTCTACAAGTAGTTGCTAGCTTCTAAACTGAATATTAAGTAAGGGTACCGCAGTCTAGCATTTACAGAGCACTTTGTGGCGCTCAGTTTGAGCCTCACAAATTCTTCCGAGCTGGGGCTCCAAGGTCACGAGCTGGTCTGTTTACGTAGTTAAAGGTGCAACCCTTGCAGGCTCAGAGCAGCAAAGAACGCAGTCTTTGGCCTGTGCCCAACAGACGCTCACTCGGTCTGGATGGAGGATTCGGCGCCTCTCTGGAGCAACGTAAGGCGTCCAGCGGAGATGCCCGATGCCATTTCACTCTGGGACTCAGATCAATTCTCATCAAGGCGCTCAATACCAAACTCGTCTGCGAGAGTCTTGGACTGGGCAGGGCCAGTGCTAGAAAGGACAGCCTCTTCCGGGTCGGTCTACTGAAGTTGCTCTTCTGCAGAGCCAGGGATAGGACAACGCGCGCCGGCCCGCTTTACGGCAAAGGTGTGCGCGTTTGCGACAGGATGATGCAAGCAAGTTTTGGCGGGAAAAGCTCAGCCTTTGGATTCCCGTGGCAGCTGGCAAAGGACTGCTTGTAGAGAAGAGCGCCCCGAACGGTGGAAGAGGACTCCAGAGAAGGGCTCAGAGGTCTTGATTACTGTGGACGGGCACGGTGAGGGAGTGGTCACGACGACCGGAGAGATGGGAGGGCCTCCCGAAGTGCGGGGTCGAGCTGGTGGCCCGCAGCTCTCCGGGGTAAAGGGACCAGAGCCTCCGGGGTTCGCACACCTTTCCGGCTCTAGGGGCCCCTGCCTTCCGCTACTCTCTACAGTTTGGCCCCGCCCCCTTCCCTCCGGGTCCTGGGGACACGTGCCGTTGGGGTGGGAATTGGAAGTGAGCGGGTAGGAGGAGGGGCTGCCCCGGCGGTAATTACTGTAAGTTACTTACACTTCTTCCCCTCCCCCCAACTCCGCGCTCCCGGCCGCAACTCCTACTCCTGGTCCTTCACCGGGAAGCCTTTGTCTCAGCCTCCGATCCCAGCAAGTATTTGCAATAAAGGTGGAGGACAAACGTGGCTGAACAGGGATTGTGATATTCTGGACAAAATGCCTAAATTTAGGATTGTGACTTGGGTAGAAACGGATGAGATGTAAGGGGAAACAACAAAGTCGTGCGGAATCATGGCAGGAGGCATGGCCCAGTGGCATTACAAGTGATGAGAGTTTACACTCACCCCCCTTCATTTTCTGGGATCCTGCATTTTACAGCCGCTGTCCTGGGAACCATGGCAGTGCCTTTTGTGGAAGACTGGGACTTGGTGCAAACTTTGGGAGAAGGTGCTTATGGAGAGTAAGTTTGAGCCCTCATTTCAATCTTTTATTACATTTATTAGAGCGTGTGTGTTCTGCCACGGTGAGCATGTGGAGGCACTAGGATAACCTGTGGGAGTTGGTTCTCATTAGAGTTCTGAGGACTGAACTTAGTTCAAGCTTGACATCAGGTGGCTTTACTTGCTTAGCCGTCTTGAAGGCCTCCGTAATTTAAATTTTACATTTCATCTGCTGTGAATAATAAAAAATCCTTTATTTCTAGTGGCACAAGGGATAGATATTTGCTTTTGTAAATCAAGGCTCTTAGCAAGTGAATTTATAGATCCACACCCACCCCTCCTTTCTTCTGACCGGGGATAGAACCTTGGGCGTTCACACTTGCTGGGTAAATGCTTTGCCCCTGAGCAACAGTCCTTGGAACCGTCCTTGACCTTAAAAACAACAATAAAAACACCCAGATTTCTTCTTTTGTTTTTGTTCAGACCAAAATCTTAAATTGCCTGTTTGGCCTTGCACTGCTGCCTCCCTAGTAGAGTAGGTGTTGAAAGGCTGCATTAACCCAGCTTTTAAAAAAAACTTTCTTTTCCTTGAATTGTAAGTTAAGTTAGTTTTTTCTCTATCAAACCACTCATCTTAGAATTTAAGTGATATAATGAAAAGTCCCTGGAGGCATCCTGACTATTTCAGGTCCTTAGAGTTCCTGGCTGTGTTTTGTGTCCTTGAGCAAGCTTTGTTTGCTTACCTGCCCTGTGGCGCACTAGGTAAGGACTCGAGCTTTACCTGTAGTAATTCACATTTCCTTTCATTTCTTTTGAGAACATGGCAGAGCCCATCTCACTTTCCTCAATGAAGAAAACGTTGAAGGAAAAAAATATTTTGGAAAGTTAAATTTAATCTTTTAAAGATTTCTCTTTTTAAGATTTATGTGTGTGTGTGTATATGTATATATATGAGTGTTTGTTCACATGTTAGTGTACTACATGTGTACAGTGCCTACAGAGGCCAGAAGAAGGTGGGATCCTTCTCAAATGGAATTACAGATGGCTGTGATCATGTGGGTGCCAGGAATTGTGCCCAGGACAGAAGCAAGTGCCCCTAACTGCTGAGCCATATCCAGCCATGTACTCCTACCTTTTTTGCATCAAACTCAAAGAGTTCTGCCTATCTCTGTTTCCCAGTGCTGGGATCAAAGACATGTTGCCACACCCTGCTCGTTCTGGTTTTTTGTTTTTATAGAGTTTCTTTTTTGTAGCTCAGGCTAGCCTTGAACTTGGATCTTTTGCTCTTGTCTCCAGAATACTGGAATTATAGGCAGGCATCACTAATCTTTTGAAGTTTTAGGAGAAATAGAATTCAGATGTGAAAATGTTTTAACTCTCTCCTTTTCTTTTTAAGAGTTCAACTTGCTGTGAATAGAATAACCGAAGAAGCTGTTGCAGTGAAAATTGTAGACATGAAGCGGGCCATAGACTGCCCAGAGAATATTAAGAAAGAAATCTGCATCAATAAGATGTTAAATCATGAGAATGTAGTGAAATTCTATGGCCACAGGAGAGAAGGCAATATCCAGTATCTATTTCTGGAATACTGTAGTGGAGGAGAACTCTTTGATAGAATAGGTATGGAAAAGATTTAAGATAATTATTTTACTGAACAAGTTTATAAATCGCATGTATATATGTGTGTGTGTGTGTGTGTGTGTGTGTGTGTGTGTGTGTGAGTGAGTACATGCTCTAGTAGCGTGTATTGCTAGATATAAAACCCTGGGTCTTTCTGTAGACCCTTCAAGTGGTTCACTATTAAGCCACATTCTCAGTTGTACTTCATTTTATTATTTGTTAACTAATTAGTTTTCCAAGACTGTTATTTTGTGTGCATTGGTGTCTCTTCTGTTTCTCATCTGTGTGGGGGTTTTAGATCCCCTGGGACTGGAGTTACAGTTGCAGCTGCCATGTGGGTGCTGGCAATTGAACCTGGGTCCTCCCGAAGAGCAGTTGCTCTTCTTAACCACTGAGCTATCACTGGAGCCCTCCGTTGTATTTTTAGGCGGTGTGTTTTTTCAAAACGATGTTTCTCTGTGTAGTCCTGCTTGTCCTGGAACTCACTTTCCAGACCAGGCTGGCCTTGAATGCAGAGGTCTGCCTGCCTTTGCCTCCTGAGTGCTGGGATTAAAGGCTGCCACCGCCCAACTGTCTCACCTTATTTTAATGTTAGATAGCTGTTTGATCAGTTTTATTTCTACGTTGATTATGCAACAATAAAACCTGGCCAATAAGAGGTATTCTTGAATCTATAATATGAGAATTTTATGATTTAAATTTGCTAAGTATTGAAATTGTACTAGATTTCTTTGTTGGTAGTTGTACTGAAATATTGAGGAAAACAGGAACTGTTTAGTTTGTGTATTTACCTTAGGGTGTTCTATAGTTTGTGTACTCTGCATGCCTGGTGCTGTAAGAGGCCTGAAGAGGCACTGGATCCCCTGGAGCCATGTGGGTGCTGAGAATCAAATCCTGGTCTTCTGAAAGAGCAGCTAGTACTCTGAACTGTTAAGCCATCTCTCCAGCCCTGAGTTTTGTGTTTAGAAGAAGTAGGGGGAAATTTGAAGGAAACCAATCATTGGAGTTGGTATAAGATTAAAATACTTTGTTTTTTATGATTTTCCTACGATGTTAGCTAATTTTAGCTGTTTAGCTGCTAGATAGATTTGAGTCATTTAGTAATATATTTGTTATTAGGTTTGAATCTTTTGTTAGTATAAGTTTGTTTGCTTTAGTACAATATAAATGAGATATGGAGTAAGAGCCTGTATGGTGGATGCCTAAGTATATGTTTTCAGTAGACTATCAATGGTTGTTTCTTCCAGAGCCAGACATAGGCATGCCTGAACAAGATGCTCAGAGGTTCTTCCATCAGCTCATGGCAGGAGTGGTAGGTACCATAGCTTCTTACACTGTGCTCAAAATTAACACCAGTCATAGGTGAGTTGCTGAGTTCTTCTGTTTCTACCCCTACTCAGGTCTATCTGCATGGAATTGGAATAACTCACAGGGATATTAAACCAGAAAACCTCCTTTTGGATGAAAGGGGTAAGAGTCCACTTTGTTAATGTTATTTTTTAAGTTAGTCATATAGGCCTGATCAAGGCTTTCGCATTACTGAAATTCTGGAACCCCTCCTCACTTCAAGAAAAGTCTAAGAATTTATGGAAATCAGGGAGACTCACTGTATTTGGACTTCAGAAGTCTAATGTTATAGTTGTACATAGACAAATACCTGGAATAACGAATGGCTCTTACAGTCCTTCTGCTGCCCTCTTCTGCAATGATTCCTGATCCTTACTTAGGTCCATGAATGTCTTATAAATGTATCCACTGGGACTGGGCTCTACAACTCTGCCCTTTGGTTTTCTGTAATGGTCTCATTGTATTGTATAGGGAAATTTCCTTGATGAGAGGTGAGGCCACACTTTGGGTAGTAGTTAGGGATTATGCTGGTTTAGGAAAGTGGCAATTGTAGGCTCTCCTCCAAGATCTGTGGTTTCCCTAACCCCGTGTAGTTCACAAGGTTTCCACTCCTGGGCATGATTTCTGTCTTGTTGAGTGGGTCTGAAGACCAATTTGAGCGTCAAGGTAGCTATACCATGACTGCACTCTTAGGGTTATTGTGCTCTGCTGGTGGTGGCTGTGGTTCATAGGCATCATAGCTGGGTAGAACTGTCAGCTGCTTCCCTCTTTGGAAGCTTGCATAGTGCCAATAAAGGTCGTCCACAGGAAGGTGGCTTTCAGGTTGCTCCTGCTCAAGGGGCCTCATGGCCCTGTGCCTTGTATATTTAGCCTTATCTTCTACCTCTGGGGAGCATCACAAGCAGTAGCTTGTGATGTTTTGGGAGTCTCTTGGATACCCTGACTAACAAAACTCAAAAGAGGGTTTCTCATGCCTTGTTGAAGTTTTTGCTGGATGGTCTTTGGCTCCTAGAAGGAGAATACCACATTTTTTATACCACATTTGTGTTACCAGTTGGTTGTTTGCTGAAAGCCTTGCTCTAAACGGGTCTGATGACCTGGGATGGATGTTTGAAGTTGGCGAAAGAAGAAAAGTCTGACCACCTGTTTCAAACAAGTGGCCCCGGGTAGTCTGAGCCACTTTTATTGATACAGTTTCAATAGTTTGCATGAACAGTTTTACAATCATATTTGTTTCCTTAAGTTTCTAATAATAATTACAATAGTTGCCAGTTTGTTCTTATTGTCTTCCCTTTCAGTCCCTCGATTTCCCCACCAGTAATCGTTACCTACTTGATTCGTAGCCTCGCTAGTAGAAGCATAAGCAGTACAGTAAGCAACAAAGGAAGTTTTCTGACTAGGCACACCTACAGGTGGAACAGTGTGCTCAGCTGGCAGCATTTGTGGTTACAGCATCATGCAAAGTGAAGGATAGTTTTGCCTCTAATGGTTAATGTTTACCTTTAATTAAACCTAAATGTTACCAATCAACTCATCAGCCGAAGATGAATCACTGCATTCTATATCTTACAATACTCTATCTCCTGTAGGAGGTATACCAGGTTTCTTTATCATCCTGAAACTACATAACTAAAAGGCTTACTCTTAAAGTTGGCAGCACTTATTCCTTGTTCTCATACCCCTTCCTCTCAGCTTCTTACGGCATTGGCACGGCTATAGAAAGAAGGGCATTGTGACTTTCTGTGATTCCACTTCATTCCCTGTTCTTGGACTTTCCTATTAACTCTTGGTATTATCTTTATTTGCATTACTATTAGACCCCTTTGTTTAGAATCATTCTCTTCAGGACAATTCTGCAAATATGTAATGTCCTGAATTACTGTGACTCTTTCAAATTCGTCACAAGGTGCATTGGAAAGGCAGCATCCTGTTGAGAATCCTGAATTCATACTCACACTTGAAAATTCATACTCACACTTGAAATATCAAAGGCTTTAAGAGGTGAATCAGATCCACTGTGTATTTTTAACAACATCCCTCCCACCCCCACCCCTGGCTCACCCAGAGGAGAATCATCAAGGGAAAGTTTTCCTAATAGAATAGCCATTTCATGTATGGCCCTAAGAAAGTCAAACTAAACTCTACCAGCAATAGTTTGTGTAAGGAAAGCGAGGAGAGCAGGAAGCACATATGCTCTGGGGTCATGCCCAGAATTAGACAGCAAACCCTATTGGCCTTGCCAGAAATGGGTTAAATTCTCCAGGCCTTGCCAAAAAGAGAACTTGTTCTGCTATTCTCAGGCCTTGTCCCCGGAAGTCACATGTCTCCTGGCATTTGTTTCTGTTTCCTAGCTATTGTGAATAGAGCTGTAACGAACATGGCTGATGAAGTATCTGTGGAGTAGAATATCAAGTCCTCTGGGCATATGCTGAGGGATAACAGCTGGGTCATGCATGCAGTACATTTGCCTTCACTGATGTCCAGAGTGGCTTGACCAGTTTAGAGTCCGGCCAGCAGTGACCGAGGGTTCCCTTTTCCTCCCATTCCCGCTAGTGTTTGTCAGTTGTTCTTTACCATTGACGGGTGAGATGAAGTCTCAGAGTTTTGATTTGCATTTTCCTAACTGCTAGAGACAGTGAACATCATTTGAGATACTCCTTAGTCTTTCTCTCTTTGTGAATTCTCTGTTAAGGTCCCAGGACCATTTTGGGGGTTGGGGGAGGATGGGTTTTTCTCAATCTTTGTTTTCTGAGGTTTTTATGTATTCTGGATATTAATTCTCTGTTGAGTATGATTGTATATTTTCAGACACCCTTGTTGTTATTTAACCATCTTACCCTTTCTGCATTTTTCTCCATCTTATTCTCTGTGTGGGTTTTCTCTTTACCCAGCTGTTTCTTCACTTCTGCAGAAGCTTTTCAGTTTTATGAAGTCCTACTTTTCAATTATTAGCCTTAATTCCTGGGCAAATGGAGATGGATTCAGAAAGTCCTGCATCTGGGTTGCAGAGGGCAGTCACTGCCTATGTTTTCTTCTAGCAGTTCAGTATTTGGGGTTTCACATTTAGGTTTTTGATCTATTTGGAGTTAGTTTTTGTGCAAGGTGATAGATAGTCCCATTTTTCTGCATGTGAACATCTAGTTTTCCCAGCACCATTTATTGGTGATACTTTGTTTCTTCAGGGTATGTTTTTGGCATCTTGTCAAATACTAAATGACTGAAGCTCCAGGTATTTATGTTTAGGACTTGGGTTTTGTTGTGCTGGTCCACATGTCTGCTTTGATCACTACAGCTCTGATACAGCCCGAGACCTGTAGCTGCAAATCCTCGAGCATCGTTCTTTCTGCTTGGGATTATTTTGACTTTCCAGAGTCTTTTATGATTACATATGAGTTTTAGGATAGTTTTCTCTATTTCTGTGAAGAATGAGATGGGGACTTAGATTGTAATTGCATTGAATCTGTAAATAGATTTTGGTAAAATGGTCATTTTCATAATCTACCAATCTATGAGCGTGGAATGTCTTTCCATTTTCTAGAGTCTTTCTCCATCTCTTTGTTCAGAGATTTAAGGATTTTATTATAGAAGTCTTTTACTTCCAGCCAGGTTGTAGTGGCAGAGGCAGGTGGATCTCTGTAAGTTCAAGGCCAGTGTGGTCTACTGAGTGAGTTCCAGGAGACACTCCAAAGCTACAGAGAAACCCTTTCTTGAAAAAGCAAAAACAAAGTAACGACAACAAAAATGTTTTTCACTTCCTTGGTTATTAGTCAGGTTTTTCTAAGAAACAATGATAGAATGAACTAATGTATATTTGTATATTAGTTAGGTATTCATTAGCGTGGCTTCACGCTAATGAACTGTGGTTCAGCAGTTCAATAATGGCTGTATTCTGATGGAATGACCTCATATCCAGTAGTTGTTGATCCACAAGACTTGAAGTCTCAGCAGCCTCAGTTTGGTGTTAGAGTCCCAGGGAGGGCCTAGAGAGCTGCCAGTTTTCAGTTCATGTTGGAATCCTGTTCTAACACCAGCTAAAGAACGGCTTAGGATAGATGAGCTCTGAAAGGCAAAGGCATCTGTGTGTGGTGTTTTCCTGCATCGTTTCTGCACCATGTGCCGGCAGTGTTAGTGGGGAACAGAAGAGGGCACTGAATCCTCTTAGAACTGCAGTACAGAGGAGCGTTAGCTGCCATGTGGATGCTGGCATTTGAATTAGAATTTTTTGGAAGAGCAGTCAGTGATTTAACCACGGAACCATCTCTTTAACCCTGTTCTTTTTCTTTCTTCTTTCCCTCCCTCCCTGCCTACCTCCCTCCTTCCCTGTCTCCCCCCTAGTTTATTTATTTGTTTGTTTGTTTTGTTTTGGTTTTCTCTGTATAGCCCTCCTGGAATTTGCTCAGTGGACCAAGTTGGTCATGAATGCAGAGATCTACCTGCCTCTGTCTCCCAAGTGCTTGGATTAAGTACCATTCAGCTATTTTGTTTTTAAATACAACTTTATTAATTTAAGAATTTTATATAAATGTTAAGCTGAATGTCTCGTAAGTGCATCTTGATTGCGCTGTTATTCTTGTTATTTTGTTTCTACTTAGTATTTGTTAGTAAGCTAAAGAAACAAAATCCCATCATAATCCAAAATCTTCCCTTCTGTTCTTTCCTTCACAGACGTGTTATATCTCTAAATCACATCTCTAAATCTTAATTCGTTTCTGTAGTTTTTAATTAATTAAATGAATTAAATTTTTAATTCATTTCTGTAGTTTCTAACTTAATATTATGTTACAGACACGATGAAACAACCAAACTCAAAAGATGCTATGGTAAACCATTAGTATTCAAAACGACTGCTACTTAGAAGTAGTTTGAAGTTGTAATCTCAGTGGTTGGTCTAGATTTTATCATATATAATTATTAAAAAGATGTAATTACAACCTATAGCTCTCAAAGCTAAATAAATATAGGTAACAAATACACTGGGCTATAAGTTATGTGGTGTGGACATTTGTTTGTAACTTAAAATAGAAGAAAATCTCAATACAAAAATACTTATAATGAGATTTGTTATGCTACTAGCCCTTTTCTTAGATATCTGATTCTGTGTGAATGCCCAGACCTTGTTTTGTTAACTATTTCCATAGTTTTCATTGTATGAATGTATTTTAAGATCTTGTTACTTATTTATTGATGGATACTTATAATTGATATTATTACAATTATTCTTACAGTTGTGAATTTGTGGAATTTCTCCTGTAGGTAGATAAGGTTTTAGCAGTGAGAATTGTTAGTTCAAAAAGTGAATGTTTCACTGTTTGACACCTTGGCCACACTTCTTTCAGTAAGGTTGTATCTATTGATAATCTTTCATAATAGGTAGGCTTCTCTAACTCCTTAGTTAGACCCTTTGCTATGGCATTCTATGATATTTGTATTTTCATAGCCCGGATACCATGGTTTATTATCAGTCTTTCTCAATGATTTCATCTACCATTTGCATTACTAACATAGTACCTGTTGCATGCAGTGGGTATTCATCAGTATGTTAAAACGGAAAGTTTTGTGCTGTTTGTGTGTGATAAAGATGGGAGGATAGAGTAGAAGCTTGTTCTTCTGGCTTATTTTGATACAGAGTTTCTGCTTGTGTTCTCAAACTTGATGCTTTGACAAGTTCTTATGGCTTCTCAGTTTTTAGTTTAGTTACATCCACACACACACACACACACACACACATATTTGCCAACTGACATCATTTGTCATTGAGAAAGCTTTGCTGATGACTTCTTACCTTCCACAGCTGTCTGTGAAGAATTTTGCTCTACCCTCTTTCTAGATTTGTTTTTTAGGAGGGCAGCCACAATATCTTTAACCTGGTGCAAACTGGTTTTTGTGTTGATAATATTTCTTTGTTTAATAAGAAGATGAGATCTTTGCCAAGTTTAGTATAAATGATGGTGCCTTTTTTTTCTTTTACACATACATAGATTTGCTGATTTTTCAGATGGAGAAATTCTATAAGCCTTAAGGGAAATCAGTGCTATTTCAAGTAATTCCTATATATTTACAAATTCTTTTAAACGGTGCTGGTCTTATTTTCTTTTGTCTTAGATAACCTCAAAATCTCTGACTTTGGCTTGGCAACAGTGTTTCGGCATAATAATCGCGAACGCTTACTGAACAAGATGTGTGGTACTTTACCTTATGTTGCTCCGGAACTTCTAAAGAGAAAAGAATTTCATGCAGAACCAGTTGATGTTTGGTCCTGTGGAATAGTACTTACTGCAATGTTGGCTGGAGGTAAGGCTGTCTAATTATGAGAAACTTTTCTCTGAAAAATCAGATTTCTTATACCAAAATAAAAATGAAATAACTTAAGTCAATCTAATTCTGTAATAGAAAGGTTGTGAGCCCAGCCTTTAACAGCAGAGCTCTGCAATAGTACTGTTAGTGTTAATTACTTTGGGCTACAGTAACAGTACCGTACAGTGAGTGTGTTGTGCACAGCAGACTTATCTATTTCATACAGATTATGAAGGCTTGAGGTCTGAGTGATGAAGGTGCAAGCATGGCCATATTCTGAGGTCCTCTTTCTTGTAGTTGACCATCTCACTGATGTGTCTTCATAAGGAACCAAATCCCACTTTTTATCTTTTTAAGACTTTATTATGTAGACATTGTTCTGCCTTCATGTATGTCTAACACTAGAAGAGGGCACCAGATCTCATTATAGATGGCTGCAAGCCATCATGTGGTTGCTGGGAATTGAACTCAGGACCTCTTAAAGAGCGGCCAGTGCTCTTAGCTTCTGAGTCATTTCTCCAGCCCCCCAAATCCCACTTTTGAGGGCTTTCCTACTCATCCTATCATCCATCTCTGGGAGTGTGAGAGTGAGTGATTGGCTGCGGCATCTTTCCCTTTGTTGATCTCTGGCTGGCGAGGGTGGTGTTGCCTTCCTCTCCTGAAGTGGACTGGGTTGAAGAGGACCACTTTCCTTGAGTAGAGGAGAGTCAGCCTTCAGTCAAGTAAGTGTATATGAGTAGCTGCTGTCCCCTGCTAGAACCTCCAATCAAGCTCTCACATTTGTTATCTTGGGGTTAGGATTTCAGGAAAACATTTAGAGGGGAAACATGCATTTAACCTGTTATAGTTAGCATATTATTTCTTAACTACCTTGAATCTTGTAACCCAGAGAGAGATTCATTTTCATGAGGTATAGCTATTCAATGAAAATCAACACTTCTTTTAGGGTTGTCGGAGATTGAACCCCAGGACCTAACACCTACCAGACATGTACTCTGTCATTAAATAAATCTCTAGCCTTCATGTGAAAAAGTGGTTCCTATGAACTTAGCATAAAAACCTTATTGAATCACTGTGGAAGAAACTTGTATTCTTTTTATGTATTGTTCATTTATTATGTGGTTGTTTTTCCTTGAAATCTTTATTACATAATTTTGTGAACACTCAGAAAACCGAATCTTGTTTTATTTTTAGAGTTGCCGTGGGACCAGCCCAGTGACAGCTGTCAGGAATATTCTGATTGGAAAGAAAAGAAAACCTATCTCAATCCTTGGAAAAAAATTGATTCTGCTCCTCTGGGTAACTGGTTGTTAGACTGAAAGTATTGATTTTTGTGGGTAATAAAGTTTCTCATGCTAGCTGATTTTACTCTCCCTTCCCTCCCCTCCCCTTCCTTTCTTCCCTTCTTCTTCTTTTTTCTTTAATGTAAGTGACCCATAGTCCTTTTAGCTAACTTAGAAAATGTAAGTAAAACTTAAGAAAAAAATGGTTGGGTGTAGTGGCACACATCTTTAATCCCAGCATTCAGGAAGCAGAGGCAGGTGAATTTCTGTGAGCCTGCCTAGCCTACATAGGGAGTTCCAAGCCAGCCAGGACTGCATAGTGAAAAACCTCACCTCAAGAAAGCGGGAAGGAGGAAAGAAACAACTAATTGTGGCATTGGAAATATCTTTAAAGGTATTCTGATATATATGCCTATACTTTTATGTTAAAAAAATATAGCAAATGTATACTATATATGTATATATTAGTTGTAAGTATATACTTTTGCAAAAATTAAACCATAGTACTTATATTGTATAACTCATTTTAGTTTTGATATTTAGCATTTCCCATAACAGTAACTACAGGTCTTGTTTATACTTTTTTTTTTTTTTTTTTGGTTTTTCGAGACAGGGTTTCTCTGTGGCTTTGGAGCCTGTCCTGGAACTAGCTCTGTAGACCAGGCTGGTCTCGAACTCACAGAGATCCGCCTGCCTCTGCCTCCTGAGTGCTGGGATTAAAGGCACGCACCACCATCGCCCGGCTTTGATTATACTTTTAAAGGCTGATGGTATTCATTATATGGATGTCTTCCTCTTCTAGTTTAGAGATTAAGGTTTGTTTATTTTATTTATTTTTGTTTCTTTTTTTTTTTTTTTCTCCAAGACAGGGTTTCTCTGTATGACAGCTCTGGCTGTCTTGGAACTTATTCTATAGACCAGGCTGGCCTCGAACTCACAGAGATTCGCCTGCCTTTGCCTCCTGAGTGCTGGGAGCCACCACCACCTTGCGAGATTTAGATTTTTTCCTTTAATTTTACTTTTAGTGAAGAGGTATGATAAGCATCATGTTACTTGATGCTTGTGTGTATCCTTTATTTACATAAAAATTTTTCCTTCTCCCACAAGCAGAACTATGCAGTTCAGAGAGTATGTATGTTTTTAAGTGTTATGGCTTATTTTACAAATATACTTTTTAAAAAGTTTGTGCCATTTTATTATTTATTTACATTACTTTTTCGTTGTTATATTTTGAAACACTGGGTTTCACTATGTATCCCTGACTGGCCCGGAATTCGCTGCATTGACCAGGCTGACTTTCATATTCACGGAGCTTAGGATTACATTGTATGCCGCTGTGCCTGGGGAAAGTAATTGTTTTTAACCAATAAATCTGTAACTGATATTGCTTTCTAAGTTTTATTTTAAACTTAATAGTGCGTTATTAACTTTTTCAGTTTGCTTAGTTTTTCTTAATCCTTTGGGGGGTTTTCCAAAAAGGCATTGATATTATTTGACCATTGTGTTTTTTACAGTGTTTCCTTGAACTTGTCATTTATTTTGATTGTGCTGCTTATTTTAATATGCAGATGTCTTAAATTTTTCATTATCTAAAATCTTGTCATTGTGGTTTCTGGCTTATATTGCCAGGTTTAGAAAGGTCTTTTAAACTCTCAGTGTGTGTGTGTGGGTGCGCGTGCGTGCGTGTATGTTTCTGTCTTTATATTTTATTGTTGTTGACCTTGGTTTTGAAATGGTTTTATTCAGCCCAGGTTAATTTCTGAGCTCAGTTGTGTAGTAATGACCCGGATCCTCCAGTCTCTACCTTTACATACTGGCATCCAGATGCTAACATCTGATAATAAGAAGCCTTTTGTTTTTGGAGACAAGGTCTATGTTAGCCCATGCCAGCCTGAAACCCAGGCAGGACCTGACTGTGGCAGTCCTTTCAGTCTCCTGAGTGCTGGGACTACAAGCTTGGGTCACTTTGCATTCCTTGTTTACATCCTTGATGTTGGGAATTGTGTGAGTTCTTTGTAAAATTAATCTATGTGTACCAGGCTGGCTTCATTCTTAAACATCCTGCCTGTGTATCCCAAGTGTGCCATGTGCCTAACATTTAGGTTTGGTCTAATCTGCTTAACTCTTTTACAAATGCTATCTTGTTTTGTTTTCAGCTTTGCTTCATAAAATTCTAGTTGAGAATCCATCAGCAAGGATTACCATCCCAGACATTAAGAAAGACAGATGGTACAACAAGCCACTTAACAGAGGTAAAATATTAAAAAAATATGCTCATTTTTCTCTGTGAAACATGCTTAACAAAATAACCACAAACCCATATCTTAACTCTTGTTTGCCGAAAGGAAGATTTTAATATCTAATAGGAAAAGCAAATTCAAAATTTTGTTCATTAACACCTAAGAAGAATGCTATAGCTCAATGCTTTGACACAGTCTCATGAAGCAAGGAAGACTTTTCTTCATAAGGAAATGACATGAAGTCTAAATTTTGAAGATTAAAAGGAGCTAGCAGGCGAGGCGTTTTTGTTTAGTTTTGTTTTTCAAGATAGGGTTTCTCTGTAGCCTGTCTTGGAACTAGCTCTTGTAATCTAGGCTGGCCTCAAACTCACAGAGATCCACCTGCCTCTGCCTCCCAAGTGTTGTGATTAAAGGCGTGGGCCACCACCATGTTTGATTCTGTGCAGAAGCAGCAGCATTTGGACATGTCTTAGATTTTGTACTTTGAGTGTATTTGAAGAATTTGAAAAAGGTCAGCTCGCTGTGACATGACCTTGTGTTTGTTCATTTTTTATTTTTTGGAGCTGAGTAGACTTTCCAAGTGTGTGTGTGTGTGTGTGTGTGTGTGTGTGTGTGTGTGAGAACTAAGCTTCAGATACCAATTATGGGGAACTTAAACCATATTAAGCTAAGCGTGAGGAATGCTATTTAGATGGAAAGTGGAAATCAAGAAACAGAAAAAGAACCGAAAGGTGGATGAAACGTATGTAGAATGTGAGTTATTAGAGACTAGGAATGTTCCATTACGTAGAGGTTCTGTTGGATGGGTAATAACACCAAGGTTTAACCTTTCCATTGGAGTCTATGATCTGGTAGTGATTTTTTTTTTTTTTTAAATATTTATTATGTATACAATATTCTGTCTGTGTGTATGCCTGCAGGCCAGAAGAGGGCACCAGACCTCATTACAGATGGTTGTAACCAGATGGTTGTACATGTGGTTGCTGGGAATTGAACTCACAACCTTTGGAAGAGCAGGCAATGCTCTTAACCTCTGAGCCATCTCTCCAGCCCCTGGTAGTGATCTTTGTAGACAGCTTTCATGGAGTGTTGAGTGATTTCTAGACTCCACAATCCAGTGATGATGCTGCAATAGACCAAGAATCAAAGAAAATTGTGTTATACAGTGCCAGTAAAATGTTCTACTGAGTAGAGGGAGAGAGGACCGTATCTTTAGTTCTTCTGTGAATTTTTTTTTTTTTTTCTTTTTACACCTTGCTCTGTTTGAAATCCAGTTCATCCAGAGGATGTTGTGGATGTTTTCTTTCCCTCACCTTCATGCCCTCGGGTCAGGAAGAGGGGCAGGTAGCTGTCTCCCTGATGGTTCACTCTCACTTTGTTTAACTTCTGTTCATCTTCTCAAGTTCTTTCCCCTCCAGGAAAGATCTCATAGTGTGCTACCCACAGTTGCTACATTATTGCATTAAAATTCCTGCCTTACTGCATCGTCTCCAACAAGACAAATTGTGTTGTGTTTCCGCCTAGCTTTAGTTTCACTGTGTCGCCCACACTGGATTGTTCTAGGAGCCTCTGGTCCTAAAATTACAGGCCTGTGCCTGTGCTTCCGTGCCGCCATGCTAAATGTTCATGGAGCTTGGCAAGTCAAATATTCATTTAGATGATATTTTCAGTATCCTGATTTCGTGAATCCCTGAGGTTTCTTCCTTTAGTCGTCTTTAGACACTTTACTGTGATTGCCACTCTAGATTATTTCTGTTCTCCCCTTCACCCCTTTTTCCTCCCCATGACTTCAACAATCCTTTGACTGTTACTGGACTTAGAATCTATGAATCTATTAATTCGGTCATTTGACTGGTTGTTATCTCCCTGGATGCTCAGTGGTGAGATTCTGGAATGGTTTTTACTTTTTGTGTTTTGTTTTTCGAGACAGGGTTTTGCTATAGCTATCGAGCCTGTTCTGGGCCTAGCTCTTATAGACCAGGCTGGACTTGAACTCACAGAGATCCGCCTGCCTCTGCCTCCTGAGTGCTGAGATTATGGGTGTGTGACACCACTGCCCAGTTTGAAAGACATACTTTTTAATTTACTCTAAAGGAAAGGGGAGTGAGTAAAAGAGTATCAGGATTAGGGTTTCTGAGGAAGATGTGTGTGTGTGTGCGCACGTGTGCGTTTACACGTGCATGTGCATGCATGTGTGTGTCTGTGTTTTGAGGAAGGGATAATGGACCCATAATACAAGTATCAAGCTTAATATTCGAGGGGAGGATGCAACGAGAACGAGAAGCTTAAACAAGTCTATTTGTAGATTTGGTAGTGTCATACTGAGTTACTTTAGGTCTGTGGTATTTTTTCTAAAAGGAGGATAATATATCATGCTAAATAATGATGAAATGGAGTGTAGTATTGATAATTCAGAAGAGAAGTTTTGAAATAATCCTTTTTGAGGAAATGGGCGTAAGAAGTGGCATGGACTGTCGCAGCCCAGCTGAGGAATGAGAGTTTAAAGTGGCTTCATTTTCTGTGTTGTGACTGTTCTTGGTAAAGCGTCTTCAAGGGAACAGAGTATCGGATAGAGCAGATTTAGTATTTGCTGTCATAATCAAGAGTTATTTAAAAATTTTAAAAGTTCTAGTTATTTAGGTAGTCCTTTGTTGACTATCGTGTTACCCATTAAAGATGTCATTAAAATTTTGGCCTCAGTGCAACACTAATGTAACATTTCTTATAAAATTGTTTAAGAAAAGACTTTATATTATTTTATGTTCAGTAAATGGGTTTAGATGTGGCTTTAATGTGTTTAGATGTTCCAGTTGGTTTAGTTAATACTTTCATAGAAGATTTGTGTTTATTCCTTTTTAGGAGCAAAGAGGCCCCGAGCCACTTCAGGTGGTATGTCAGAGTCATTCTCTAAGCACATTCATTCCAATTTGGACTTTTCTCCAGTAAATAGTGCTTCCAGGTAAGAATTACTAAAGTTCAGTAATTTTTTTTGTTTTTGAGATAGGGTCTTACTTGACTGAACTAGAACTCGGAAGTGCAAACTGGTCTTGAACCTGTACTAATCCTCCTGTGTCTGCTTCCTAAGTGCTGAGATTTCAGGGGTGCACCACCATGCATTGGCAGATTAAGTTTTTTTTTAAACATGTAATTATTTCCCATAATGAATAAAACATGTATATATTTAGCTTAATAATACAAGTAATTTCACTAAAATGGGAATGAGTGTGTGGTATAAGACAGGCCTGGTGGACTTTATTTAAAGACATTTTTAGGCGAACACTGTAGCACACATACGCTTATAGTCAAAGATAATTGCTAATTGAGAGGCTGAGGTAGGAAGATAGACAGTTCCAGGCCAGTCTAAGTAGCAAGATACAATCTTGTCTCAAAACAAATAAAACAAAACAAAAAATGCCCACCAAATAAATAGTTAAAAAGAATGAAATGACCTTAAAAACAGAGAATTAAAGACTTGCTTTTCTTGTCTTATTGTCACAGTGAAGAAAATGTGAAATATTCTAGTTCGCAGCCAGAGCCACCAACAGGGCTTTCCTTGTGGGACACCGGTTCCTCCTATGTTGACAAACTGGTACAAGGCATCAGCTTTTCCCAGCCCACTTGTCCTGATCAAATGCTTGTAAACAGTCAGTTACTTGGTACCCCTGGCTCCTCACAGGTAAGGAATTTAATCTTTCAGATAAATAACTGTTGCCTTTTATTTTTGTTGTCTTAAATCTTAGGTATATGGGATTAATACATTTAGTGATACATATTATTTGGATAAGGAAGAAATAATTAGAGGAGGCCTTTATGAGAGTCCCAAGTGAAGGGGAAGCACTTCAGCCTAACTGCTGTAACCTGGTCACATGGGATCTAGTGAGCTTTCTTTGTTGTGTAGAACCCCTGGCAGCGCTTGGTCAAAAGAATGACACGCTTCTTCACCAAACTGGACGCAGACAAATCCTACCAGTGCCTGAAGGAGACTTTTGAGAAGTTGGGCTATCAGTGGAAGAAGAGTTGTATGAATCAGGTATGTTTTGTTAGTTTTCAGTATTTTTTCAAACCATAAAAAATTAAATATTTGAGTAAAAGATATCAGTAGTCAATGAGTATTTTGAAAATACATGTAATAAATTTGAAAAAGAAACAGTTGAAGGTTTTAAGATTTCTTTTTTCTTTCTTTCTAAAACCTCTAAAGTTGGTATTTTTATATTTAAACTGCAGCTGACAATGTCCTTACCAACATGTTTGTGACTTTGCTGGCTTTGGCCGTGGCTTTTCTTTCACACCAGTCATCTTGCCCCAGCGTCTTTCTAGTCTGTGGGCTGGGGACTGAAGTGGGGGTTGTCATATCTCCAGACCTTCACTATCGTCTCATTGTTATTACAACTTTCCAGCCCAGATACAGCTTTTTGTTTTGTTTTCTTTCTTGTACTCTAATAATCTGGTTTTCTTTCTAGTATGTGAGATTGATTGATTGACTGCAGTATTGGGGATTGACCTCAGGCCTTGTACATGTTGGGCTGCACCCCTAGTCTTCATTATATTCCTGTTTCTTTCAGTTCTGCTTTGCTCTTATAAGATTTATTTGCGCTTATGAGTACATGAGTGTGTCTGTGTGCATGTGTATGTCATTGTCTGAGGAGGCATCGGCTGTTCTGGAGCTAGAATTATAGGTGATTGGGAGCCTCCTGACATGGGTTCTGGAAGAATGAGTGTCAAGTGCTCTTAACCTGCACTCACTCTCTAGCCCTGTAATTTATAGTGTTCTTCATGCCTCTCTTGTCACGCAAGGATTGTAGTATGACCTGTTGATTTAGAGGTTTTGTTAAGAGTATTTTTTACTCATGTATGCATGTAGCTTGAACTTATTATTACTGCCTTAGGTTACTGTATCAACAACTGATAGAAGAAACAATAAGTTGATTTTCAAAATAAATTTGGTAGAAATGGATGAGAAGATACTGGTTGACTTCCGACTTTCAAAGGTATTTCTTATATGTTTTACTTACAGTATTTTTTTCCTATTAGTATGGAACTATTTCTGTGGGTTTTTAAATGGTTTTATGATTTTATTTTTAAATGTAGCAGTCCACCCCTCAGCACTTCCACTTCTTGGGGTTTTTTAGGTTCAGCACAGTTCTGATTAGCTTAATGAGTTCTTAAGTAGTCTTCCCCTATTTCCCAACTAGGACCTCAATTTTCCTTTTGCCTAGAGTAAATATCTTATGCATATGTTTTTGTTCAGGCTATATATATATTACATGCCTAATACTAATTTTGGCTTTAATATTGACTGTCAGTATTTCATGATTTTTATATGGGGGTCATAGTTACTTAGTAATGGCTCCAAAGTATAAAGGTTATAATGCTGGCAATTTTATTCTAGAATATTGTTTCAGTTGTTCTGTTTTACTACTAATTGTGTTCCTTTTACTATGCTGTATTTACATATTAAACTATATCATAGCTGTGTATACAAAGGGATGCACATTATATAGGCCATGTAAAATTGAATTCTGTATGGTTTCAGACCCGCACAGAAAGTTTTGACATATAACCACGTGTATGACTAGTTATTTGGCATTTATAAATATTCTGTAACTTGCTTATTTTTATTTAGTGTTATAAGCTTTGACTTTTGCCATCTATTTTTCTAATATATCCTTTGATTGTTTCTCTTTTTCCTGACACCTTCCTTAGTATAAGAATCTTGAGGGACTGGTATAGTGGCATTTCATTTGTATTTTTAATAAATAAAACTTGATTCAGCATCAGAAAAGTAAAACAACCACACTGGCCTGTCTTACAGATCAGGCAGCAATGACACATGCCTTTAATCCCAATAGCCACATTAGCTTGCCTTAGAAACCAGGCGGTTGTGTTGCACGCCTTCAATCTCAGAACTAGAGAGGATAAGACAGGCTCAGTCTCATTCTGAGATTCCTGGGGGCAGGATAACCATTTTTCGGACTGAGGTTGAGGTAAGAGCCAGGGGCTGGCTGGTTTGCCTTTCTATTCTTCAGGTTGAACCCCAGTTTCTGTTCTGAGCTTTTATTAATCGGCTTCAGACTGGGGAAGTGGTGCAGATTTTAGAGTGCTTGCTTGGCGTGCATTCTCGATTGGATCGCCAGCACCGGACAGAGCTAGGTGTGCAGTGGATGCTTGTTTTCCCAGCACCCAACAGGGGGATGATCAGAAATTCACTGCCATCTGTGGCTACACAGCTAGTGTGAGGCCAGCCCTACATGGAACTTTGTTCCCCCTGAAAAATTGTTTTTACTTTTTTGGTAATGTACAGAAAAGTAAAGAGTAAAAGAATAAAGAGTAAAGAAAATAATTATACTTCCCAATTGTTATCATTCATACTGCTTTGGAATACTCAGATTATTTTGATTAATATATAGTATCTCTGTTTAATAAAAGTTATGACTTAAAAGCTTGCACATTATAATGTAGTGGAACTCTAATTTTGTGATAAATATTATGATTTTACTCACATATTATTTTTAGTTTTAAAGCCTATTCTTTATAAAGTCAAATCAGTATAATGTCTGTTTCCTGAGAGTTTATATGTGGCTCAAGAGGTGGTTGAAGAATAATTCACATTCTTTATATTGGAGATAAGTTGCAGTATTCTTTTCTAGATTCTTGGTATGTAATTAAATTATGAAACTGTTGTCATGACCGAGTTTAGTGGCATTTTTGTGATAAAACTGTGACAGGACTTGAGTGTGGCTTTTTAGTTCACAAACTCCACTTCTTATGGAAAGCAATTGGTGTAGGTCCAGAGGTACTTACCCTTGAAACAGCAAAAAAACTATTGTACTTTCTCTGCTCGGTTTGATGAGAAAAGGAAGAGCGCATAAGCAGGTGAGAGTTACTTATGTAGCCATTTCCACCATGATATTTGGTCTGCACAAGTGACTGGACTCAGGTGACATTTAATAAATGACTAATGAAGAACCCATAGATGTTATAATAGCCTGCTTGAATAAGTCAAAATGCTACAGATTTATGTGGAATGAAAAACTCAGCTGGAGTTGTGCATATCTGCAGGCTAGTGTTCTCAGGAGACAGGAGGAGGGAATGAAAGACTTGAGGGACACCTCAGATAGGCCTGATCTGGACATATCTAAGAGTGTTTCTGGTGACCAGGACTGAGAATATGATCTTTTGACAAAATCTTTTTTTATATTTTTAAAATATTTTTCCTAAAATAGGGTGATGGATTAGAGTTCAAGAGACACTTCCTGAAGATTAAAGGGAAGCTCAGTGACATTGTGAGCAGCCAGAAGGTTTGGTTTCCTGCTACATGATGAAGCTGTCAGCCCTGGGCATTCCTGGTGAATATAGTGCTGCTATGTTGACATTATTCTTCCTAGAGAAGAGTATCCTGTTCTGCAAACTGCAAACAATAGATTTTGAAGAGTTCTCTTCCTATTACCCAACATCTTCCAATTCTGTAATTTAATACTGTATTTTAATTGTATGTAATACTTTGGGAAAAAGATGGATCAAGTTCATTAGGTATTTCTCCGTCTGTGTTTAAGTTGTGTGAATTTGAAACCTATCTGGTAGAAACCAAGTTTTGGGATACATGAGTTTCACTTCTGAAAAAAAATTAGAACATTTTGTTTCATTCTAAGAAAACATTTTCTCTGCTATTTAATTGTAAGGATGAATAAACAAAGACCATGTATAGTTGGTTGGTCCATGAAGTGAGGCCTGCTACAAAAATTGTATCCCAAGATATGTTCTATGTTTTCAGTTTGGGTATATGTGCCGCACAAGGGCTTGGCCTATTCCAGTTATTTAAAACTGTTTTGAATTATAATGATTAAAATTACAATCTTTTTATTTTTTTCCCCCTGGTATAGCTAGTCTAATATAAAGTACTGGTTGGTCTTTCAAGCAGTTGAACATAAGCTCTAGTGTTTATCTTACTTTAAAAATTACACACATTTTTTTTTACACACAGCCACATTTTTACTGTACTCTAGAAATAAGTTCTATTTTCAAAATTACTATCTAACTTAGTAAACTTATTGGCCATCGGGTTTTTAGATGACACTGGCTAAAAAGGGGATGGCGAGTAAGGAAACACAAGAATAGGCCTGATTCTTGTTCCTCGCCTTTTAGATTCACTAAAACTTTGTTTTCTTCATAAAATGTGCATTAAAATATGAATTATATGATTGGGGTCCTGTATTCCTTTTTGTAGATAAATTACAATTTTAATTAGTCTGAAGCTAAGAACACTTAAAATTTTATGGCTAAAGTTTATTACATATTGGTATATGCTGGCATGCTTGCCTCTCCTATACATAGGTGTAAATCTGAGCCTAATTTATTCAGCCTGCTGTTTTCCACTTTGGTTAAAACAGGTCATCTTTTTAAGACTGTCATTTGTTCCTTGGTAGTTTTCTAGAAAAGCTGTCAGAATCATCCTCCTAAAGTGTAACTTAGATCCCAGTCCCACTCCCAATCGTTCAAGTTTTCATCATGCTTAAGATTCCAAGTTTGCTCTGAGCCATACAGTTCTTTGTGATTGTCTCCTTCCTCTGATGGGATGTAGTACTGACTCCAGAGCCTGTATCTATCAAATCATGACTCTTTGCTCCCTGCTAGCCCTTTGTACCCACCGTTTTGCTTTTTGTCTCCATTAATTTGAATTGTTCCGTATTTCACATAGAATTGTTTATTTTTATGCTTTATCTATGTTATGACATAAATCAGGTTTTATTCCTTTCTATGACTAATATTCCACTGTGCACGTGTGTTCATATGTGTGTGAGTGCGTGCACACATAGTAGCTCTTTCATATCATGTATATTTGGATTGTTGCCACCTTTTACCCACTGTAAACGACACTGGTGTGAACATGAATATATAAATATCTGCTCAGGTAGAATCACTGGGTCATGTGATAATTGTGTTTCCATTATTTTCAGGCGCTGTAATACTGTTTGCCATAGAGTAGCTTTGTAAAGTTGAACAATCTGTATAATATTTTTTGGGGGAGGTTTTCAGAGACAAGGTTTCTCTATATAACAGTTCTGGTTGCCCTGGAACTCACTCTGTAGACCAGGCTGGCCTTGAACTCAGAGAGTTCTGCCTGCCTGTGTGTCCCAAGTGCTGGGATTAAAGGCGTGTGCCAGTACCACCTGACAATCTATTTAAAATTAATAACAGCTATTCTTTTTTTTTTTTTTTAAAGAGATAAGTTCTCACCATGTAGCTCAGACTGGTCTTTGCCTTTGAACTCACTGTTAGTCTTAGGTTGGCACTTTTCCCCTCCTGCTTTAGTGGCCCAAGCCATATATTGTAGTATACCTAGCCTAACTTGATTGCAACAGAACAGCTATATTTATAGCTGCATTATCCTTCCCTTGTAATTTTATTAATATAGAAATTCTATCTTTAAATGTTGTATGCACACTACAATAGATCTGTTTTGTTTTATTATTTTTTTCTTGTTGTTCTTTTGAAGCAGGATTTCATGTAATCTAGGCTGACCTTTAATTTGCTCTATGTGAATGCATGACTTTGAATTCTTCATCTTCCTGTCTCCACCTCCCAAGAGCTGGGATTACGGATGTATGATACCATGCTTGCTTTTACTTGGAGGGACAACTGATCAACATCTTCTACATACTTGGCTTTTAAAAAATTGTTGTTGTTACATTTTTGTTGTTGTTGGTATCCAACCTAGGGCCACATTCAAGCCAGGTAAGCATTTTATCATGGAATTGTATCCTTAAACTAGGATTATTATAGTTATCTTTTCAGAGGTCTTTCTATCATGGTTCCTTACTGTTGTCTAGTATCCTTTCATTTCAAATTGAAGGGTCATTTTCAGCATTTCTTACATAGCAGGTATAGTTATAATTCGCTTCTTTAGTCCATCCTCTGTGAATGTTAATTTGCCTTCATTTCCAAGGGACAGTTTTGTTTTATCAGACATTGAATTTTCAGTTGATAGTCTTCAGTCATTTTTTTCTTTCAGTAATGTCTGTATTACCTCCCTGCCTTTTGACCTGCAAGGTTTCTGCTGGAAAATTAATAATATTTTTTTAAAAAATCATTTTTGAGGCAGGGCACTATGAGGCCCATGGTGACCTGGGCCTCACTTGATAGTTCACGCCCACACTAAACTTGCAATTCTTCTGCCTCAGCTTCCAGTGTATACCACTATATCCAGCTCTTCTTACTCCCCTCCCCCTGCCCTGAACTTCAAACTTCAGTCCTTTATTGTAAATTTTACACAAATAAAATGATTCTGGTTTCTTGCCACAGGTTCATCATTACATGGGCAAAGCAGTTCACAAGAAGTGTAAAGATTCTTTGAAATCAGAACATCATTTGTTATGATATTTTCCAGTTCCCAAGCCCCATGCCAGCCACTATATTCTTACTTCTTAGCTGGGTTAATCATAAAACAACTTCTGAGGCTCTCACCTCAGAGGCTAACCACCTGCAGTTTACAGAAGCAGAGTTCAGTGGGTTTTACCTTTCCCATTGTTGTTCCTCACAATTCAGATGTTGATTTATGAGGCCATAGGCTGGCAGCCCTAAAGCCCTAGGTTCGCAGAAACTTTATTCATCATCGCTACCTTCCTTTCTGTTTCAGTATAGTTCTTTTGCCAAATTTTAGAAGCAAGCAAAGAACAATTTCTGCATTTTTCCCAAATTTCCCCAGTTCTTTCATCAGCCAGGTTTTTTTTCTCATAACCTGCTTTACAGCTTCAGTGCCAGCCCGCTCTATCAGATCAGGAGGACTCTTACCATCATACAGCGCATCCGTATTTTCAGAAGTCACTGGTTCGGAAAGAGAAAAAGAACATGAAGACAAGTATACTAGTAGAATTGCTATAGCCAGAATCATCTGTAACATTGCCAAATGGGGCACACAGGCTTTTCCTCCCTGGTCCTCAAGTAACACACTCATTTAGCTGCCGCTGGGTTGCCTGGAGGGAATTGCTTCCTGCATCTCAGGAACCACTGGAGGGCGCTATGCTTTGCCGTCTCCAGCACAAGACTCCTTTTTTTCCCCCTTGTCTTTATTTTTTGATAGTCTTTTGACAGTATATGTGTCTTGGTTTGCTCTCCTGGGTTATCCTCCCTAGAGTTCTTTGAGTTCCCTGTGTTTGTAGCTCCATGACTGTCTTCTGATTTGGAAGAATTTCATTCAAATGCTCTCTGTCCTTCTTTAGTTGCCTGTGGGATTCCACAATAGTAATAATTGCTTGACAGTGTCTTTTAAGTCAGTTCAGTTGTTTACTTCAGCCTTTTCCCAATTCCTTAGATTCAATTTTAAGTGGCCTGTCTTCAGAGTTGCTGATGATGAGATATGAACGTGGGTCAGTGGTGGAACACCTGCCTAATGACAGAAGCCTTAGACTTAATCCCCAGAACTGAAGAAAGAAGTTGCTGATTCTTAATGTTGACCACTTCTAGCTCTGATACCGTTTCTTTATGTACTGTTTTCTGATTACTCTTGACTGACATTCGTTGTTCTTTGAACACTCTTGATTTAAAATCTGTTGTCACTCACCACTCACCCCCAGCCTTTTTTTTTTTTTTTTTTTTGAGGCAGGGTTCTCCGTGTATCCTTGCCTGTCTGGGAACTTGCTCTGTAGACCCGGTTGACCTCATACTCAGAGATCTGCCTTTCTCTGGCTCTCCAGTGCTGGGATTAGAGGTGTTTGCCACCACTGCCTGGATACAATCTGTTTCTTTAGAGATTGTCTTAGCAGCCAGTTTTCTGCTCTGTGAGCACTTGTATTCAAGTGCACATACTCATCCATACATACCCACACACATAATTACAAAATAATAAAAATAAATCTTTAAAATTTGTTGTTTGCTTGAAAAACAAACAGTTGAAGTTGCTTTGTCTGAAGCAGACCCCCATCATAGCAAGGCATGTTTTGAGTCTTCAGATCAAGCTGCTGTGGAGGGTTAGTGTCTTCTGGTCTCTCCTTACTCTCTTTCCTTTGTGTATATTTTCTCAATTCCTCTGTGTTTTGCTTACCTCTCACGTGTGTGTGTACATTTGTAGATATTATGGGGGATGAGGGATACACGGGGCTGGCACTTTTTCATGGGTGCTGGGCATTGAATTCAGGTCCTTATGTTTAAGGGGCAGACACTTCACCAGTCTCAGAAGATAGCTTCTCCTATAGCCTAGATTGGCCTAGAATTCCTGATTGACTTGTCTTCATTTCCCAAGTATTGGAGTTAGAAGTGTTTCTATCATGCCAAGCTGGAGTTACACATTCCTCTGGCCATAACCTCATGTCCAGGTATGTGCCTGTCTTTAGTCCCTTTCTAGCTTTGTTCGTTGTTTCCCATGGTTTTCTCCCCAACTTGTTTGTCCCTGAGTGAACTCTTAAATTAGGAGAAATAGACCTATCTGTTCCCACAATTGAAGAGCAGGTTTTGACAACCAGACTTTTGCTCCTAAGTATGGCTTGCTGCCTTGAGGGTGGTGCGAAAGCCCTTAATGCCAACATGTGTGTTATGTTCTCTTTCTCTTGAAGTATTTTTACTGTTGTGTGCCTTCTACTTATCTTGCTATGAATTGGTAACTTCATTCTTCATCCAATATGAGAAAATTCTAGCTGTTACTTAAATGTGGAAGTGTTGGTAACAATTTATTAACTTTTGAAGCTTTTCCCTCCTTTTTTTTCCAATTGGATACTTACTGATTTATCTTCTTCACACTGAGTGATGTCTTAATGTGGGCCCCAATACCCTGTTAAAACCATCTAGTTATATATTTTTTCCAGTTACTGTACTCAGCTGTTTGTTTTATTTTGTTTCAGTCTTAAGTTCCTGCCCCACAAATAAGACTCATGACCTTGTCTTGATTCACTGCCTTTTTTCTCCCTTGGCTACTTGTTATATAGTTCCTTGCCTTTTCTATGCCTAATAAGTTATGTAGTAGTTGCTGAATTGTAGAGATTCTGGACACTGTTTTCCTGTGAAGAGTGCTGGGTTTTGCTTTAGTGGGACATAAGAATGGAGGTCTTGTACGACACAGCAATCTTTTCTGTTCTGTTAGCTTTCAGATACTACTGTTATTGGGCTTCTAGGAATTCAGACGGTCAGTCAAGAATTTGGTCAGAGTAGATTCTCAGTTGGGTTTCTCTCCTGTGACTTTTTTTTCCCCCAGTTCTTCCAATTTACA